CTGATTGGTCAATTGCAAGTAGGCATGGTAGAAATACAGTAATTACTCAGATCATGAATAATAATTAGTAGTACCACAATCAGTAATGTATGATTACATAAAAATTAAATCACACACAATTAGTTCAGACACAATAATTTCTAACCAGCCCATTAATTACCAGATACATGGTTATAATTTGCTGGATATTGTAAAATAAAAATAATTGGCCAAAAACTCTAGTAAAGAAAAGTCTAAGAACTTAAGGACTACAGCCATATCTTAATACATAACTAATGCAATGTATTAATTATAAAAATAATAATTTTTTATATTATTAAAGGTTACGTCACCGGATGATAGAGGAGAAGCACAGAGGTCATGACCTGATGCATGCTGAAATGATATTAATACTGTTTGCATCTATTGGGGTAGCACAAGTACTCCTCTTCTTATGGAGAATAAAACACAGGAAATCCTACCAGGTAGACACAGCATACATGTACATGTGTACAAGTAATAATATACTAATAATATACTAATAATGTACAGTAATATACTAATGATATACTAACAATGTACATTTATGTGTTGGTTATAATAAGGTATAAATGACATTATTATAATAGTTAGTATATAAATGTACATTTTATACAAATTAGCTAGTTCCTCCATAATTATTGCTTATACTGTATTTCAGCAGCATCAGAATGTGGTCCTATACAGTATATAACAATGATGACTTTAATTTCTTACCTCCTCCTCCTTTCTCTCTTAGGCCATTACCTTATTAGGAATGTGGATAATTCCATTTTATTTGTGTGTTCGGTTGAGTTTCTGGAGGATGATCATCGTATGGTCAATATTCTCTATTATAACTTTATTTGTAATGTTTAAGGCTACTAGGAAGAAGCTTCATGTCAACACTCCAAGGTTAGTTTAATTATCCCAATTTCTGTAAAATAATCCCTGTACTATTAGTAACGCGGTAGCATTATTACTAAGTAGGATTCACCCCACTTCAAAATGGCTGCCACGACTTTTGCAGTCTTGCTATACCGGGAAAACGAGCTCCTATGCTTAGCAGACTTTATAGAGGACCTTATCTTGACCAGAGGACTCCAATGGTACCCATAGCGTGGCTCTAGACCTTGTCTAAAAGGAAAGCCAAAAATCGACGAACCGGCCGTTTTGTTCAGCCACCTTTTTTCATCTTCATCATCATCATCATCATCATCATCATCAAGAAGTCCTGTCAATCCAGTTGTCGGTGTGTATCTCAGTATCAGTTGGTGCTACAAGGATAATTCTTACACCAATCTACTCCAACAGTCTATGTGCAGGTCCATGTCCCATCAGGTCATTCTTCAAGTAAAGAAAAAGTGATACTCTGACTGCTGGATAGAGCCATCTTAGCTAAAAGCCGTTAGGGAGAGATTGTTACCATCCCGTAAATGTCCGTAAAACAAGTTTGTGCGCATGCGCATCGGTGCAAAATGGAACTTAGTTTTTGTCAGGACTGCTCTAGGGACTTATAAAGCCTTGGGACTCTCTGAAATAAAAAAAACTAAACCCTAAACCAACTAAGGGGCTCCTAAATTGAGTAGGGACGCTCTAAAAAAAAACCGCCACCCTAACCCCTGAACCCTAAAAACAATAGCTAAGTCCTAAAAAACAATACTAACTAGGGGAGAAGGCTAAGTAGAAAAGGTAAAAAGTTAAATTTTTGAAAG